TTTTTTGTGTTTTTGTTTGTGTTTTTTGTGTTTTTGTTTGTGTTTTTTGTGTTTTATGTTTTTGTTTTGTCCTTTTGTCCCTGTAAATTTTCAGTTTTTTATATTTTTAACTTCGGTTTGTTCATCGCCTAAACTGGTGTACCAGTATTGGCTATCTATCTATCTATCATTCTCGATTCATTTGAAATATTGAATACTAGTTTATTTAATTGTTCAGGTGCATTACAAGCATAGCAGGTGCACAAAATTTATCATTCATATCGTGATCTCTGTATCTTGATTATTAAACAGGGCAAATTCCAGCTACGTCCCAATGTCAACCTTCAACATGTGGCACTCGAGTAGCACCATGTTCAACCAACTATGAGTGCGAATGTTTGCCACTTAGTTTAAAAATGGGTGGCGTATGTGCTATCGCGCTATTCTCTTGCTCAAGCTTTGCATCTTGTTTGAGTGGCAATATGACGTGCGCAGTACCTTATACTATATGTGTTAACAGTACTCGCTGTGCCAAGTCAATGTGCTATCCACTAGCACTTGCCGCTCCTGAAGTGTGTCCCCCGCTAAATTCGACTTTGTCTACGTCAAAAATCTCCACATCGACAGGTATTCGTAGTAAATTCTTTTTTTTTGAAAAGAAAAACAGCCATATTCAGATTTCTAAAACAGGAAATCACTCTAGTTTTCAACGTTTTAATCAGCTCGGTGACTACATACTATTGCAAATCAAAAAGATTTAAGAACATCAGAAGCTTCGGATATTTCGGAAATTCTTATAGTATCAGATATGTCCTTAATTAAATAATTCTTGGAGTGTTAAAATATTTGAAAACTGAATTACATTGTGCAGTATCTAGCAATTAAGTGCATAAAAATCTCGAGTGCTCTAAAACTGACGATGTTGTCTATTTCGGAGTTTTGAATATCGATGCGACGTCACCGAAAATCATGGATGATGTTGCGCTATTGATTTTTCGAACTATATGCGCATTTATCTGCGTTACTTAATGCGGCATTGAGAGGTAAAACTAGCACGGATCGTTAGAGTAATAGTCACTTCATATCTCAGGGAGTTATAATTAGGTTGTACCCTGGGAGATACCATTAAATGATGCACCTATGGAAGAATTATCTAAAATCTTTTATCAATGGTGCTGCTAAATTCTATAACAACTGATACATCTAAAAAAAATGGCGAGTATTATACTAGAGGCATCTCTGTTGTATACATTTTTGACATCGTCACTATAATAATATTGAACTCATACGCCATAGCAGTAACACTACGCTCGACAACGACGTTGATACTAACACAAACATTAACGACAACCACGAGATTCACAACAACGACGACACGGTCGACAACGAAAACAACACAACCAACAACACGATCGACAACAAGAATAATAGCAACACAAACAACAACAGTAACAGTAACAACAACAGTAATAACAACAACAACATCAACAACAATGACAACAACAACATCAACAACAATAATAACAACGCGCTCAACAACAACAATCCGTGAGTAGACCGTAAATGAAGTGTTACACCAAAATTCATATAGCCCCCCCCCCCCCCCCCAACAATAAAAGATCCCGAGTCTTCTAATATGTGTAAGCGGCAAAACTTTTTTAGGGGGGGGGGGGGCGGTCTTGTATTACGACTTTCGTATTTTTGCGAAATTCAAGAATATTTTCGAAGAATTCAGTAAATGCAACTTTAGACTGAGGTTCTACGACTTCTCAGCGCCTATCATAGTAGCAAGAAGCTGAAAGAAGCACCAATTTATCTTCGCAGTGCAACAAACAACACTCAGTAACTAAGATCAGCGACTATGTTATTTTAAAATTCTATTATTTCTAGTTTGGTGGAATTGACGTATATTTTCAAAGAAAAAAGTGAGTGTAAGTTTCAATTTCGAGGTTCTGCGGCTCCTCCCCTTCTCTCCCCAATACAGACAATCCCACATTACAGACAGGTCACCATTACAGAACTCAACAACTGTGCATAGAAGGCTTTTAGATTCTATACAATATATCAGTGCTTTCGTAAATATTCGAAAAAAACCTATTTTGAAGTTTAAAAAGCAGACATCAGGATAACAGCTTTAAAAAATATACGCAAGTTCCATATTTTAGCTCTTCTTGGACTGCGCTAGCAAGCTTTCTGTTGTAAATATCATGTTTTTAAGCTTTGTATAACTCACGTATATTTTGGAAAAATAATAGTAACCGTAAGTTTGAGTCAAGGTTTTTCAGCTTGTTCCGTTTTCCCAATGGATGTAGTAGCAGTGACTTAGATTTAAAAGGTTATGGAAATTTCTGGAGTATTTTGATTATTCATAGTTCAGATATTGTTATGAGTATTAGCAAAAAGTTAGCCTTCTCTTTTTGCGCAGATGAAAGTTTATACGATCCCTGAGAAAGATAATCTTTTGCAATTTTTCATAACTGTGGTAAGGTACCGGCAATGCGAATGTCGAGTAACTTTTTTTTGCCGTTATTTTACATCATTTGACGGAGCAAGAGCTGCTGATCACAGAAATCTATTTTTTAGCCTTAGTGAATCTTTCTGGTTGAAAAATTCGAAATACTCGAAAAATGTCATTTTTCGTAAAAAACCAGATCTTTGTAAAAATATACAAAATTTTCTATTTCTTTTTCGTTTGGCTCGTGAAAATATCTTTGTCAGATTCAGCATGAAAAACTAGGTGTGGGTGGGATTGGGGTGTGCACTCTAAAAAGATCGGTTCTTTACTGAACCCCCAAAAAAGGTTCTGGAGATTTCGAAAAGCATCCAAATGTGTCAAAAGTCGCAAAAAAGGATAAAAAAATCTACGAAACCTTTAAAGGTTCTTTCGGTGTACCCAGAATAAGAACCTTTTCCCGCGAAACCTTTTTTTAAGTTCCGTAGAGCAAAAAAAGGTTTCGTAGGAAAATACGAAACCTTTAGAGTTTCATATTAAAATCTAATAGTTTCGCACTAAACCCTCATGATTTCGTAGAATTTAATACGAAACTTTAAAGGTTTCGTATTTTTCTACGAAACTTTAAAGGTTTCGTATTTTTCTACGAAACCTTTTTTTGCTCTACGGAACTTAAAAAAAGGTTTCGCGGGAAAAGGTTCTTATTCTGGGTACACCGAAAGAACCTTTAAAGGTTTCGTAGATTTTTTTATCCTTTTTTTGCGACTTTTGACACATTTGGATGCTTTTCGAAACCTCCAGAACCTTTTTTGGGGGTTCAGTAAAGAGCCGATTTTTTTAGAGTGTGGGTGGATGTCAACTGAAAAGAAAATGAACCCAAATCCAAAGCAACAGCCACACCCTGCACGAACTTTTTTCAAAAGATTCATAGATCATTAGGGTCTACATGATATTCATACGCTCGACTCAAAAGCAATATGACAGTTGGGAATGCCCTCGCGTTAGTGCTGAGGAATATTACAAAGAAAACGGATAATAAACAATTAAAATTATCACAGCTTTGGAGTAATTAGCAAATTTGAAGGTCTTGTGTATTTTCTTCTATTTTTTTTTTGTTCTTTATAGGATGTTTTTGGTTTACGAATGAAAACAAAGTATATGAGTTAAGATGCAATAAAAAGGAGAAAGCCATTTTCTTACATGTTTGTTAAAGTAGAATTATGAACTGATCAAAAAATCTAAAAACACTTCAATTCAAGTAGTGGAGCCAAAAAATTTAAAGATTCGTTTTTTAGTATAAGCCACATTAAAAGGTCACTCCCATTACAAAGCCATCCTCAATAGAAGGTCATCCCCAACAGAAGGCCACCCTGAGCCGAATGATGTGAATTCCCTTAATAGAAGGCCATGCCCTTCTATTGCGGGGAGGGGTTTATCTTATTTATTAGACTGTTCGAGTGGACTACTGTTATTTTGAGTGAATACAGTACATTTTGCATTTCTCCCATCTCAATGACTATCCACTGCAAAATGATGAGTTAAGGTCTTTACTGCTTATACAAGTCTGACGATTTTTTATAATATAACCAAGAAGACACTGAAGTTCCGTTCAGAAAGAGGAACAGCCTCATGCCCAGCGTTCAGCTGAAATCATCTGAATTCTAACTATCACAATTCCCTCTTCTATTATCTTTACAGTCATGACGTATGCTTGCACATGTTTACATTTAGCACTGACCTGCTCTGATAACATACAAAATGGTCTTGAAACAGGTGTTGATTGTGGTGGACTTTGTCGTCTAAAGTGTGACTATGAGTCCTGCAGATTTTTTTCTGAGTGCAAAAGTGGTGTTTGTCAATATTGGAGAGCTTGTCAAAGTAAAAAACTATTATAGATAAGCACACGTTTCCTCTTACCGAAATGACATTGTAGCGGTTCGCTGCGATGATGGTTTTCAAAACGGTGGTGAAATTGGGATCGACTGTGGTGGTCCATGTATAAAGCGATGCAATGGACGAGTCTGCACAATAGCTGATCATTGCTGGAGTGGTGTCTGTGGAGTCAATAAGACTTGCTCAGGTAAATCATTCTAGTGGAAGTTTTTTGGGATGCAAATCTTTTGCTTCAGTACCCACATGTTCTGATAACGTACAAAATGGAGTCGAGGAAGGTATCGATTGTGGTGCATCTTGTCCTCTAAAATGTGACTATCAGTTCTGCACATCGGATAATCAATGCAAAAGTAGTGTTTGTAAGCACCGTTATTGTCGAGGTATGTAGCTAGACAATAAATGTATCTCTTATACTGAAAATAGTTTGTAGGGGCTACCTGCAGTGATGGCATTCAAAATGGTGGAGAAATCGGTATTGACTGCGATGGCCCATGTGTCCAACGGTGCAATGGTAGAGGTTGTACATTAGCTGCTCATTGCTGGAGTGGTGTCTGTGGAACTAACCAAACTTGCTCAGGTGATTGATTTTAATGAAAAATATGAGTGCTGGTCAGAGATTTGTCCGAAGCTATCACAGTTAGAATTGATTGAAGCGAGAATCTCAAACTTACATATTTTATAGACCTTAACACAGTTATGCTTATTTTTAGGAGTTAAAAGTATCTATTTGAATCATAGTTATGCTAATGAATAATTATTTGTATAGCTGAGCGACATATACAAGACGAAATCCTTTAATTATTTCGATATCAACCATAAAATGACGTCTTTGACTGAACATTTCACTCCTCGCTAGAGCCCGTCGGGTAGGACCCGGACCCGAACCCGACCGGATCCGGGTAGGGTCCGGGTCCGAGTTTTTGATTTTCACCGGGTCCGGGTCCCGGTATGAGAATTTAATTTTTACCAGGTCTGGGTCCGGGTTCGGGTCCGAAAAATCATTTCAGAGAAATAATAAAATTTTTCGAATATTTTTTCAGTTCTCTAGTATAAGAGCAATTCGTTGAAAATGTTCAGAATGTAGTGGGAATCTCGGTTGAAAAGTGTTGAAGCAATGGGATCTGGACTCGGGTTCGGAAATGTTTATCTAGCCTGGTGTGTGTCCGAAAAACTTAATTCAATCGGGTCCGGGTCCGGGTCCTAAAAAGTTAATTCAATCGGGTCCGGGTCCGGGTCCGAGTCCGGGTCCGGGTCTGAAATTTATGGACCCGACGGGCTCTACTCCTCGCTCATTCTCGCCATCTTCTGTCTATAGTTGCATCCACATTACATTGTGTGATAGCGTGTTTTTGATTGTCATAAAAGGATTAATATGCAGCACACTTCGTCGTGTTTTCTCTGTGCACTCTATGTAATAAGTTGCCTTTGTAGTCTTTTGACTTATCTCTCGACTTTGATTCTCATCTTTTTATAATAAGCAGATTCATTCATTTCTCTCACTGTTTTTGATTGTTTTATCGGCTGTTAAACAATCAAGTCTTGGCCCGTTTCTGAAGTTCTTTTTTCTTCTTTTGCTCTTTTTTATTAAATTTTCCTTTTTTTCCTTTCATTGTATCATGAAAGGACTACTGCTTTTACAGGATCTTCTCAGTCAGCGGAATTGATTACTTCAGAGAGGAAGAGGACATCAAGGAAAAGAATAAATGAAAGACAAGACACTAGCAGCAAAATACTTATGAAACAATCGCTAAACAGTGGAGCAAAGGGAATAAAATGAATGGATTTATATTGGCCACGACTTCAGCTATATCGTGACCAACAAGCAATTTGTTAATATGGCACACTAATATTCAGAAAAAACATTTCATACTTGTTGTACTGTATACAAGAAACGTGAAAGATATGGTTTTATCTTTTCGTACTGTTTTTTACCACGATTACATCATAATTGCGCCATTTAAGCCTCTATCTACAAACAAAATAAATGGGAATAAATTTCGAATAATATACATAGCACACTGTTCCTATAATACAATGACACTATACATTAGCTAATTAAACATTATATCCCTTACAGATTACAGCTCTCTCTTGTTTCAATTCATTTGATTCTTCAACATCGTTTACAGACGTCGAATTTTTAGACAAAGTCACTATTGCCGAATATTTTCCAGAGAAACAAACTATTCAAGTTCATATAAGCATCCAAATCAACATTTTTTGAATAGTGACAAATGTTTATTTGATTTATAAGGGCTCTGATTATAATCAAAGAGTCTTGTAATTCTCAATCAGAGTCTCAAGTGAATCCTCCTTTTCCTCTGCGAGTACCAACAACTGATTAGTAATATCTCTAGAATGTGTAGACATAGATATAGGTAGGTATTATGAAAATGAGTCCAACCTAGAAGATCTACGGTAATATCCGCGTCCAAATCCAGAAGTAAACTCTAAATCTTGAGTTTCTACAAAAATAACTCCCAGCGACACAAGAAAGGCAACATCGGATTATATTTTTTGAACGATTCTGTCCTCTTATTGAATTGTATCTGTCGTAGATAGTTCGAATTCTTTCTATTATTAGCTTACGGCTATCATGATCTGTTTTGCTAACTGGCTCCCAATGAATATTCCTATGCATCTGCATCACATATCTGTCATCAAACTAACTACAGATATGCAGATAATAATAGGTAGAAAATATCGATCAAGGGATGTTATACAACTTACTGATGTCACGACCAACAAATGCCTTTAGGTCTGGATGAAAACAACATCCAGGCGACTCTTGATTACTTCATCGTTCTCTTTCACACTTTCTTGACAACAACACACATAGTAGAACGTGACGTAGAGCAGAAATGAACAATGTATAAAATGATAAAATACCAACCTATTTCTGAAGTCTAATAGGAAATTTTCGTCTTCATCGTTGTTTCAGAAAACAGCTGATTAACCATATTCGCTTGTGACTGCTCACCTCTAGCAGTAGTATCAGATTGACATAAGTATTAGATCACATACCCATAATATTTAGTCGACGACAAAAGTTTCGCCCGCTGACTATATCGTTTATTTTACGCTTTATAAGGACATTAGAAAAAGATTATATTATTATCACATATACTGTTCTTAGATACTTCATTACTCATATTCAGCTTTTTTATTTCTGTAAGTATTTTGTTTTACATTGATTAAATATTAGAAACCATTAAAACAAATTCGAAATTTGACACAGGAAGAATGTTTATTCGCGGTGAAAGAAGCACAAAAGCAAAACAAGACGTTCAATACAGTAGCACACCAACTGGATTGTGATCGTCGAACCGTTTGTCGTGCTATTGCTCGCTTCAATGCAACAGGATTATTGACTGAACAGAAAAGACCAGGTTGATCACTTTCTCTTACCGGAGAACAACAACAACGGTCATTGGACAAATACATTTAAAAAGATCCAACTGCAACTTCTAATCAACTTTCGAACTATATCTTTAACAAGTTAGGCATTCGAATATAAACAAAAGTCAAATCAACAGAAACTCAAGTCGAAAAACTTCATTTATTTGCAGTAGAACATGAAAGTAGTAACCTCAAAAAAATGGATTTTCATTGATAAGACACAGGTCAATTGCGTAACATAGGCAAAATCGATTGGGTGAAACGTGGGGAATCAATGTCTACACATGAAATATCTTCTCTTCGTGCTTATGTCAACTTATGGGATGCAGTTTGGTGGAATGACAAAACGTTCGCAAGACTGATTTCATTGACTAATGTTTTAATGGTTTTATGGTATTTTATTAATTTAAAACAGAANGTTTTCTCTGTGTACTCTATGTAATAAGTTCCCTTTGTAGTCTTTTGACTTATCTGTTGACTTTGATTCTCATCTTTTTATAATAAGCAGATTCATTCATTTCTCTCACTGTTTTTGATTGTTTTATCGGCTGTTAAGCAATCAAGTCTTGGCCCGTTTCTGAAATTTTTTTTTCTTCTTTTGCTCTTTTTTATTAAATTTTCCTTTTTTTCCTTTCATTGTATGATGAAATGTCTACTGCTTTTACAGGATCTTCTCCGTCAACGGAATTGATTACTTCAGAGAGGAAGAGGACATCAAAGAAAAGAAGAGACGAAAGACAAGACACTAGCAGAAAAATACTTATGAAACAATCGCTAAAGAGTGGAGCAAAGGGAATAAAATGAATGGATTTATATTGGCCACGACTTCAACTATATCGTGACCAACAAGCGATTTGTTAATATGGCACACTAATATTCAGAAAAAATATTTCATACTTGTTGTACTGTATACAAGAAACGTGAAAGATATAGTTTTATCTTTTCGTACTGTTTCTTACCACGATTACATCATAATTGCGCCATTTAAGCCTCTATCTACAAAAAAAATAAATGGGAATAAATTCCGAATAATATACATAGCACACTGTTCCTATAATACAATGACACTATACATTAGCTAATTAAACATTATATTCCTTACAGATTACAGCTCTCTCTTGTTTCAATTCATTTGATTCTTCAACATCGTTTACAGACGTCGAATTTTTAGACAAAGTCACTGTTGCCGAATATTTTCCAGAGAAACAAACTATTCAAGTTCATATAAGCATTCAAATCAACATTTTTTGAATAGTGACAAATGTTTATTTGATTTATAAGGGCTCTGATTATAAACAAAGAGTCTTGTAATTCTCAATCAGAGTCTCAAGTAAATCCTCCTTTTCCTCTGCGAGTACCAACAACTGATTAGTAATATCTGTAGAATGTAGACATAGATATAGGTAGGTGTTATGAAAATGAGTCCAACCTAGAAGATCTACGGTAATATCCGCGTCCAAACCCGGAAGTAAACTCTAAATCTTGAGTTTCTACAAAAATAACTCCCAGCGACACAAGAAAGGCAACATCGGATTCTACTCTATGAACGATTCTGTCCTCTTATTGAATTGTACCTGTCATAGATAGTTCGAATTCTTTCTATTATTAGCTTACGGCTATCATGATCTGTTTTGCTAACTGGCTCCCAATGAATATTCCTATGCATCTGCACCACATATCTGTCATCAAACTAACTACAGATATGCAGATAATAATAGGTAGAAAATATCGATCAAGGGATGTTATACAACTTACTGATGTCACGACCAACAAATGCCTTTAGGTCTGGATGAAAACAACATTCAGGCGACTCTTGATTACTTCATCGTTCGCTTTCACACTTTCTTGACAACAACACACGTAGAAGAACGTGATGTAGAGCAGAAATGAACAATGTATAAAATGATAAAATACCAATCTATTTCTGAAGTCTAATAGGAAATTTTCGTCTTCATCGTTGTTTTAGAAAACAGCTGATAAACCATATTT